CTGCTCCTCCCGCTGCCCCACCCCTCGCGGAGCACGCCGGGAAATGTAGTGCGGCCACACCGCCCCTCGCGGAGCTCGCCGGGAATTGTAGTCGCCCTCCACAGTAGGCGGCTCCCGGGCCGAGGCGCTACGACTATCTGGATTCTAAGAAAGGGATCTCAAACTGAAGCCAAGCAGAGGGTGTTTGGAAGAGGTGCGGTTCCTGGGGCCTTTGATAATGTGTGGAGATTTTCGAAATATGCAAAATGCATTATTGATTAATTTTGTGCTAACGTACTTCCCCATTTAAGAATTGTATTGAAAGTGCTAATGTACACCCTGATATACCCTTATTCGAGTCAGTTTTATATTTTAAATTGTGTATTTTACACGTACATCTTTTCTCCTATGCTCCTGACGCATTTTTTCCTTCTAAGAGGTTACCTCATTCCAATATTCTACCTGTAGAGGCAGCTTTAATTCAACGTTTAAAAAGCCCTCCTCGCGGACTTGACTAGATCTCTGCTCTTTCTGTCAAAGTTACTGTCTACCTAGGGGCATAACCTTGGAAGCCAACCTTACTGTTCCCCTCCGGTGTAGTGGATACTCATTCCAGTTTTAGAAAAATTTAAAAAAAATTTTTTTTGTTGGCTAAAAATCTTTTCCTTTTAGCAATTGTTACCTTTCACCTAGTGTAGCCTAAACTCACTTTCTTTGCATTGTAGCAGTAGCTGTGACCCCAGCTGTTCTAGCTGAGTACCCCATTTTCCTGGCCACAGTTGCAGTCTAGGCACTGACTGACATGGGACCGACTGACAGAGCCCATTGGAGTCCTTTTCACAGTAAAGGAAGGATCTTTCTCTTGCTGAACATTTCAGTGTTGCTATGGACCTTGTAAACCTGAAACCTCAGGGTAAGGGGGTGGGAGGCTTTAGCTGTCGTGAAAGGACTGGGAGACTGACATTTTCACTAAAGCAAACCAAGATGGGGAGAAGAGGAAGACCTGGCTGGCATCATTTAAATCTATATTTAGCCAAGAGATTTAAACACACACATACATGCGCACACGCACCGCCCCCCACACTTAACAGAATTTTAAGCAGGTTAACCTTCCACACATTCTGTCTTTCATCATTTTTGCAAGCCTCTATCTGGAAGCAGAGTTTCCAGAAGAAAGGGAAGGCAGAGTGTTACCTTCTCAGTAGGTAAAATGCCTTCTCAGGTCTTGGCCTTGCTGAAAGGATCAGAATAATCCTGTTTGGATTCTAGGAGAGGCATGACACACTTTCATCCCTGTCTGGCACTTCCTGGGACTGGTTCTGGGAGAAGGTGCTTCACGCAATCAGGGAAGATAGCTGTGAACAGACAAGACACCAGCACAATGTCTGAAGGGAGCAGGCTCTGTGACTCATTCCAGTTCCCAGCCCTGCAAAGCCAAGTGGGAAACCTGCCCTCCACCCAGCTCTTTCATTAGGACCTTTGCTGTTGTATTTCAGAGACATGGACATTGAGCATTTAGTCATCATGTGAGAAGAATGTCTGCTGCTTCTCACACTCTGGAAAAAAAAATCCTTCTTTTCCACCCTAGTAACAGCCTTACTTCCTATCAGTCATTTAGTTGCCATTCTCCACATTCTGTAGAGGCCCATAAATGTGGGCTTTTGATGCCTGAGTAGTTTGTCTCCTGGAGCACATCACATCTTCCAAACTGGGGACAGAGCAAGTGACACCACTGTTAACTTATCAAATGAGACTATAGCAGTGTACATAAATGACACAAGACTTTAGGCTTCTCCTGGAGAGGGACTGATCTTTCTTTTTAATTTTATCATCTAGAAAAATACATGGGTCATACTATTTGCTTGGTAAATATTGTTGAACTTTATCGTATGTTACTTTTCCAGCCTCTGCCCATACAGGATTTCTTATATAGTAGTGATCTTATGATAGTAAAGCATTTTCTATTCTTTGTATTGTTAAACTACAGTTGTTGGAGTTGTTGTAATTGTTTTTTTGAGAAGTGTCAGATGTGGTGGTGCATGCCTATAATCTTAGTGCTTGAGAGGCTGAAGCAGGAGCCTCGCCATGAGTTTAAGGCCAGCCTGGGCTGCACAGAGAATTCAAGGGCAGCCTGAATGACGTGAGAGGACCTTGTGTCAAAAAAAAAAAAAAAAAG